GGTGTGAGTGATGAGATCAATGCACGTATAGTGAAAGCCAGAGTGGCTTATGCCAATCTGGGCCATCTTTGGCGCCTTCGTGATGTTAGTCTGGCTGTAAAAGGTCGGATCTACAACGCGTCGGTGAGAGCAGTTTTGCTCTATGCTTGTGAAACCTGGCCTCTCCGAGTTGAGGACGTTAGACGACTCTCTGTGTTCGATCATCGCTGTCTCCGAAGGATTGCTGATATTCAGTGGCAACACCATGTCAGTAATGCAGAGGTTCGGCATCGTGTGTTCGGGCACAGGGATGATAATTCAATTGGTGTCACCATCTTGAAACATCGACTTCGGTGGCTTGGACATGTTCTACGAATGTCGTCCCAGAGAATTCCACGTCGTGCATTATTTGCCGACTCTGGGACTGGTTGGAAAAAGCGGAGAGGTGGTCAGTGCATGACATGGTGTCGTGGTATGAAAGAAAGCTGCAAAGGACTGGCTTGTGTTGGTCCTTCACGACTCCCTGGTTGGGGTCTGAGAGATGGTGCTACACAGTGGCTAGAGACGTTATCAGATATGGCTCAGAATAGAAGCCAGTGGCGATCCTGCTGTAACCTTCTTTTACTTTCTTCATAAAAAGTGGTTGTGTCTCCCTTACTTGAAAGATTTCTTCTGATTGTACTTTTCCGTTCCATTGTTACGACCACACTAAATCTCTTCGTTATCGTTCTCTTTTGTGCTCCTTGGGTTTTTTTTCTTTTCTTTTTCTATCTCTTCGAAGTTACATTGTTTTGTGTGGCGCATATATATTGGCGCTCTCTTGTACCAATATTTGTGTTAAAATAAATAAATAATAATAAATAGAAACAGGTCAGAGGTCAAAAGAGGGGGGTTAATCCAGGGTGGGTGATGTAATAATTTAGTGAAGTTCATAAATTGTGATAATTGTAGAGATTAATGAAATTAAATAATGATAAGGTAGATTACGTAATTATAATTAAATAGAATTTGAAAAGTTAAGATAATTTAAGAGGATCAGGTGGTGGAAATGTGTGAATAAAATTTATTTTAAAATTAGGTAATAGGGGGAGTATAAAATATCTTAGAATAAGTAAACGAAAAAATAACCAAAACACAAAACAAACAGAAACAAAAAGATTACCAGGGTAGTGATAAGTTTATTAAAGTCTCTTTTTGAATGCATAAATCCGGTTTCAGTTTCTTAATCGCAATCGCTTCAGCAAAGCGGAGAGTGGTAGTACTTTTTTGTCTATTGATAATTTTAAACGCGTGCAGAATATCGACGGTATGCCCGGTGTCAAGTAGATGCCGAGCTATTGCACTGTTAAAAGCTTTTGTCCCTCGCAGCGTCAAGTTCTTCGGAATATGCTCAGAAATGCGAACCTGTACTCTTCTCTCAGTTCTTCCAATGTATGTGCTACGGCACGTACATGTGAATTGGTAAATGCAGTTGGAGCAACTGAGGGGAGAGGACTTGTCGATCTTCGTTTGTTTCAGTGAGCAGTATGTTTTCCATAACGTAGTCAGTTTGGCTGCCGGGTAGGTCACTTTTAAAGCGGAATTAATTCTGTGATTGATAATTCCGGCGACTTCATCTCCTTTGAAGCGCAAGGATAGGAAGCAGGTTTTCTTTTCAACTGTATCATGCTTAATCGGAGGGTTTGTATTAGCATATTTGTCCCTAACAAACCTTATGGGGCATTCCAGAATTTTTTTCAGACACTGAAAGAAAAATTTTCTCCAATGCCTCAGTCGCACTCCAAATTCAAGTCGACCTCTCTTCTCATGTAATCAAGGTTAAGATAGATTGAATGGTTATCCCAATTTTCATCTGACTTCAAAGTGGTTAATTATTCCGGTCTCCACTGTACCGCTTGCGTTAGTTCATGGGGAAAAGATCACCCACTATCTAGGTATCACAACGCAGAAGTGCAAATCAGACTTTGCCCCCCCCCCGTTTTGAGCAGTATACAAAGGTAATTTTACTGCTAGCACATATTTGAGTTTAGAACATAAACCTAAATATCACACTCTTGATTCCAACTAGCTTGTCCATACAGTATGTTTTTACCAATTTTTCTACTCTAAATTTTTATTCATGCCACAATATGATCGAAATAACCTTGCTGAGTGACCTATTCTGTTATTGAACCAATCAGTACAAAGCAATAAATCGATTCACATTGTAACTTTGTATGGTTGGAAAACGAATATACTGATTTTTTTTCTAAATAACGTATGCTTTGAAGTCACAGGGTAGATATTGTCTTCTGATAACGTCTCGATGACAGTAATCATAGTTACTGTTGATTCGTATATCATCAATACAAATCAGTCTGGATTGGTCACATAATAACTAAACTACACACCTATACACTAGTATGTGTTCGCATGATTCATGTATGATGTAAGATGAATTTATAATATTCATTTTATGGGTAAAGACCACTCGACTGTATTAACATTTTAGTCACTAAATGATGAAGCTATGCTATACTGACAGCCTGAAGCAACTCTAAAAGTGAAATGGTGAAAATGTATCCGATTATTACGTTACGAGTAAACTTATTAATGTTCATTACTAGAGGGAACACTGATTGTATGGTCAATGAAATGACGCCTATGAATTGGTTATAGCTGTACCTTTTAAGACGACTACCAATACACTTTTCAGTTACTCATATAAATGATAAATTTCGATGTCACAAGATATGCATGAATGAATAGCTTTTCCTTATCGATTAGTTCACAAACACTCCTAATTAGATCAAGTACGTTTAACAAATGCCCTGACACGACTGAGAGTGAAGAGAATTAGCTCTCCCACTCCAAATGCTCTCACATGGCTACGAGTGTACAACCACTGACACGGAAGTCCTACTCGCTGCCTTCTCGACGCAAGGGTGTTGTTTATGAAATTGAGAGGACGAAAAGTGAATGTCCGACGCTTTAACCGGGTTGGTGGATATGGAGGATCTACCTAGGGGAGTTGGAAAACCATCATTCCAAACCAAAAGTGCACATGGGCTACAGTATTCTGCGGGAACAAATGGCGTACGAACCAATCTTTGGTCACCGGCTACCATGGGAATGCATCTCCTCACGATGCAACACTGCCTTGTGCATCAAACCTTCAGGTCAGAGGCTCGGGCTGTGGTCCCCTAAGAAAACCACCTGTTTCGGTCTGGGCACCCAGACAGTATCACAGCCCACACACAAACAAATATGATGTGGCGCATATATATTTGGTGCCCTCTTGTACCAATATCTATGTGTTGAAATAAATAAATAATTCCCTTTCGTTGCATTATTGTGATGGCTACGATCAATTCATATTTGTGCTGATTGTCGATGCTCACAACTACCTGACAATTTATTAGCTATACAAATAGTTCCTGGAACATTTCTTTATACACCATTGATATTACGAACCGACCAAATTTAAACAACTATTGAAATCCTGTAAAACCGTTCCGTCTTAGTACGGGACTTCTCAGCAGTGCACGCCCACGACATCTCTACTGGGGGTCGGCCACAGGTCCTTCAGTTTCACGCGCGAACACTTGGCTTCCAAGCTACTAAGTCGACATCCAGTCGTTTGTAGGTCTAAATCCAATCAGTTTGAGATATTGTGTAACCATCTTCCATCCTAGAACGAAACAAATGTCTAGTTTTTCATGATTCCCAATTGATATCCTAGGTCAGCTTGTAATGTCTATAGTGCTCATGTCATATCTAGAGCTTTAGGTCCTTAATATGATATTATATATATATATATATATATATATATATATATATATATATATATATATATATATATATATATATATATATATATATATATATATATATGGTACAAAACAGTCAGGTATTTATAATTTTTAGTAAAAACGAAATCATCATTATAGTCCTCCAATCCGCATTTGTCCAATAGTGAAGCTCCACGTAAGGATTCTGGAATATTCTTCCAAAAGATGATTGGATCGAATATCTTCAGATCTTTCTGAGTTTCTTAGGGCTACCTCGAGTTCACCCGTGGACTACCCTCACGGTTCAATAATCTTCAAAACCCCTATATTGGTACTTTTTATTACTCTATTCGAAAAGCTTTCATATATAGCTTTTACTTTCTGCACGATTAACTAATAGTTAAACGGTCAGTAACCGATCATGACTATTTTTTTAAAAATATCCTGTTGATAAATGAACACTAACTCAGTTGAACAAACAGTAGTTCTTGCCAATAGGATAAATCAGGTAAAAGAATGATTTCAGAGAAATAATTAGCCCACTGATCAAGTTAACATCAGAAACAGTATTTAAATAATGCACTTGACAATATACAATCACAACTCTTCCAGCGACATTAGACGTAGAACTCACATTTGAATTAATCTTGACTAGCATTGAAATCCAGTTTGACGGGCGTTTCATCCTATTTGGGACTCGTCATCTCATTGCACAAGCAAGTGACTATCAAGACTCAATAGCTAAGTGGATAACGTGATGACGTTTAAAGCGAACGATATTGGGTTCGAGTCCCAGAATGAGATGCATGTAAATCCAGCTGACGAGTCCAAGAATAGAAGCATTTACTGATTATTATTATTACATTTCTTTATTAAATTAAATAACACAAAACCTGTTTCACATCCACATAAACATAAATACAACTAGAAGTAATTTATTAAACAATTCACATTTCATAACATGATCTGAACTAGTTTAAATAGTGTATCACACTACATTTAACCAACAATTAGTAATACATAGTAATTATTGTATTTTTCATCTAATTTATATTACATTGATGAAAGCTAACTATTCATTGATGGTTATTGATGAAAAACTGATACGAAGGGAAAACATCATAAATACACACAGGAATATATATATATATATATATATATATATATATATATATATATATATATAACACATTTTTCCTGTGAATGTAGTGCTCCGCCAACCTTCACCCGCTCCAGTGGGAAAAAACCACATCACCATCGACCACGTTTACTCCAATCTCTTGATTTCCAATTAAGTAATTTTGCATCAACACGTAAATTACGACGTTGCATAGCTTTTTGATGTGCTTGTATAAGATCACGTGATAAATAGATAACATGTTGTCCTTTCACATAGTATAATACATTTAAATGAGATAAGGTAGCAATTACATCATCTCGTTTAATACATGTTCTATCAACAATATCACTAAAATCAGTATAGAATTTGAAGAGAAAAAAAAAGAGAGAAACACTATCAGACATGTTGTTTTGACACTTTCTAATTACTATGCATGAATACTAATGATAAACATGCTATACAGTTTATGTTTTAATACACTTTTAATACAGTAATGATTTATAACGATAATAATATTTACTTTATCAAACATCATATACATCTCAGTACAAAATATTCAATATCACAACGAAATCGCCATTTTCTAAGTAATCAACTTGTGAATACTGAATGACACATGTATGAAAAAAGTTTGAACGATGCATATCTGTTATTTGCAATTATAGATACCTGACCGTTGCTGCAACCTTAACGCGGTGGCCGTGCTTGCCTATTGTGATGAACCAATAGAGCTATATTGGCTAGAACAATCGTTCCTCAACGTCCTACCATGTCAGACAGGTCGGTTGAAGAGCGGTAAGAATAAAAGCAACAAACCCAAGGTCTGAGAACGAAGTCGTACTACTGACTGTACAGAGGTGTAACGACAATAAGGTGTTTTCTTCAGACAACCAGAATAACAGCGATATTACCTTTCCACAAGGGGGGTGAGGTTAGAAAAGGTCGACCCTAAAATGCACACCTCGCCTTATCCCATGGATATCCGTCTCCGGCGGTAAGGTCTCAGCAAGTACGGAGCTAACACGAAAATTATTCATATAAAAGGTTGTGTGTGACCGACCCCAAGCAGTTGTCTCTTGATCACTGCGGTCACGCTCTCAGGTCACTAAGATCACCTCTAACCCAATTTCCTTTTCAGGTACTTCTAGAAGAATCCTTCCATGGTGTGGGTAACCGGGAATTGATAATCGCACTCATACCTCTAACAGCACTCTGACTGATTTGCAGTTATATGAAAACATTGCTTTCATGATATTTCTTCTCTTCACTGAATATATTTGATATATGAATTCTATGGTAATCACCTTTAAGGTTCGCCAAAGAAAACAGTTAAGAGGGAGAAAGAAAATATGCAAAGTACAGCCCGACACATATGTACATCGGTTTAAGTTGCCATAGCAAATTAGCATAGTGAGATAACATCATTTCAAGTCACATCCCAGAGTAGTAGAAGTAATAACAACATTAGTAATAGTAGGAAAAATTAGGCTTAGAATGAGAAAAATCAAGGTATGTGGCGATTTCTGAACCCAGACTCCAAAAAAACCAAAGAGTAAATGCAACTGAGCCATATCACACAAATTCTGTAACCATTTGTCACTACAATCACAAGGACCTCAATCAGGTGGTAGGTCATCTACACCTGCTAACATGATTTCATTTAGTTGTCAATAATTTCACGTTTTAGTTTGATCTCTTTTCTAACTTTCTTTCAACTTACTCCTACACTCTTAGAATTGTGATACTCACTTGAATTTCCCAATAAGATTTGTAATATATATATATGAAATCATGAGTCAGTTGAAGCTAGACCACCTTTGAAAACCTGGAAGCACTGGACGGTCGTTTCATCCTTCCAGGTTTTCCATGGTGGTCTAGCTTCAATCGACTCATCATTTCAACCTGTGAAATGTCTGAAACTCTCCACAAACCCATTCTGATAATAATCAACTACTCACTAGTGACTGACTTCAAGAAGAACTCCTGGAGTTCTAGTGAGAAGCCATTACCAGTGGAGTTCAACCAGGTCTGTTGTGAGATATCAGCTCACTGAAGACAATGGTATATGGTGGCGCAACTTCGTGGATTGGTTGAAGTTAGACATTAACACCGTCGGATGCCGGCTCAGCGGTCTAATGGTTAAAGTGCTCGCACGCGAAGCCAGTAGGTCTTGGGTTCGAATCCTGCGGGGTGCGGGATCGTGGGTGCGCACTGCTGAGGAGTCCCATACTAGGACGAAACGGCCGTCCAGTACTTTCACGTTTTCAATGGTGGTCTAGCTTCAACTGACTCATGATTTCAATCTGTGAAAATTTCTAAAACCTCCACAAACTCCTTCTGATATATATATGAGCAAGTTCACATAATTATTGAACATAAATAGTCAACTAAAACAAAAAAATTTACACCAATAACCGAACATTTAAGAAAATTACGACCCAAACGTTCAGGTAAACCATCGCTTATTTAATGTTTAAAACAATACAAGATCTTTTCACTTTAGTAGAAGTATTGAACTCTCATTTTCATAAATGTAATTGTCAATATTAGTACCTGATAGTAATTCATTTCGATTAAACTGAAATAGATTTCCAATCTTCGTAAAACTATGAATTATAGTCAAGTTTATGAATATTCCATTGTAACTGTATTGTGGTGTACGTTACTTATGTCTGTCAACATAAGTAGTATATATATATATATATATATATATATATATATATATATATATAGTGGAAGGCCTGGAGTCCCTCCGGGGGCTACTGTCGGTCCCAAGCCCGGATAAAGGAGGAGGGTTGGGCATGGGGTTAGCGTCCCCATCCCGTAGAAAACTAACTCGCTAAAAAACGCTAACCAGAAAAGAATTATTCAAACCTTTTAAACTCTGCCCCGGGAGTCAGAAGGTCTTCATTTAGAAGAACTATGACGCCTCATGAGGAAAGCCGAATTCCTTCGGAAGTTACGAGGCCGACGCCCCTTCTGACAACCAGAGCGACCATTTATTTAGGTACATGGAATGTTCGTACAATGTGGGACACCGGGAGAGCCTTCCAAATTGCTGCAGAAATGAGGAGATACAACTTAGAGGTGCATGGGATCAGTGAAACACATTGGACGAAAGTTGAACAACAACGACTAACTTCAGGAGAGCTTCTGTTATACTCCCGCCATGAAGAAGAAAATGCCCTACATACACAAGGATTTGCATTGATGCTGTTCAAACAAGCACAAAATGCACTTACAGGATGGGAATCTCATGGACCAAGGATCACCAAAGCCTCCTTCAAAACAAAGAAAGAGGGTATTTCAATGAACATCATCCAATGCTATGCGCCTACCAACGATTACAATGAAGACGCTAAAGATCAATTATACAATATGCTGCAGTCAATCATCGAGAAGTGTCCAACAAAGGATCTGACCATTCTGATGGGAGATTTCAATGTCAAGGTTGGAACGGACAACACTGGATATGAAGACATCATGGGACGACATGGACTGGGAGAAAGGAACGAAAATTGTGAGAGACTCGCAAACCTATGTGCCTTCAATAAACTGGTCATAGGCGGCACCATATTCCCACATAAACGCATACACAAAACCACATGGACTTCACCGGATCACACCACGCAAAACCAAATCGACCATATTTGCATCAACAAAACGTTCAGGAGGACTATAGAGGACGTGAGAACCAAGAGAAGAGCTGATATAACATCAAATCATCACTTGCTGGTCGCCAAGATGAAATTGAAACTCAAGAAGCACTGGACAATGGGGCGGACAATATCACAAAAGTTCAATAAGGCCTTTCTTCAGGATATTGACAAACTCAACGAATTCAAGATAGTCCTCAGCAATAAGTTCCAGGCCTTTCATGATCTACTCAATGGAGAAGGAACTACTATGGAGAGCAACTGGAAGGGGATCAAAGAGGCAATCACTTCAACATGTCATGAGGTCCTGGGTCACAAGAAGCACCATCACAGGAAATGGATCACTGTTGATACACTGGATAAGATTCAAGAAAGGAGGAGCAAGAAAGCAACAATCAATACCAGTCGAACAAGAGCAGAAAAAGCCAAGGCACAAGCTGAATACACAGAAGTAAACAAGCAAGTGAAGAGGAGCATCAGAACCGACAAACGTAAATATGTGGAAGATTTAGCAACGATGGCGGAAAAGGCTGAAAGAGAAGGAAACATGAGACAACTGTATGACATAACAAAGAAACTCTCTGGTAATTGCCGCAAACCAAAACGATCAGTGAAAAGCAAGGAAGGCGAGGTAATCACTATCATTGAAGAGGAATGAAACAGGTGGGTAGAACACTTCAAAGAACTCTTGAACCGACCAGTTCCACTGAACCCACCCAACACCGAAGCAGCACCCACGGACCTCCCAATCAACGTTGGCCCACCAACAATTGAAGAAATCAGCATGGCCATCAGACAAATCAAGAGTGGCAAAGCAGCAGGACCAGACAACATTCCAGCAGAAGCACTAAAAGCAGACGTAGCGGCAACTGCAAGGATACTCCACATTCTCTTCAATAAGATTTGGGATGAGGAACAAGTACCAAAAGACTGGAAAGAAGGACTCCTGATCAAAATACCGAAGAAAGGCGATCTCAGCAAGTGTGATAACTACAGGGGCATCACTCTTCTATCAATACCGGGAAAATTCTTCAACAGGTTATTGTTAAACAGGATGAAGGACTGCGTAGACGCCCAACTTCGTGAACAAAAGGCAGGATTCCGTAAGGATAGATCGTGTACAGACCAAATCGCGACTCTACGGATCATTGTGGAACAATCAATTGAATGGAATTCATCACTCTACATCAACTTCATTGACTACGAAAAAGCATTTGACAGCGTGGACAGAACAACACTATGGAAGCTTCTTCGACACTACAGTGTACCTCAGAAGATAGTCAATATCATACAAAATTCATATGACGGATTACACTGCAAAATCGTTCATGGAGGACAGTTGACAAAGTCATTCGAAGTGAAGACCGGTGTTAGGCAAGGTCGCTTACTCTCACCCTTTCTCTTTCTCCTGGTGATCGACTGGATCTTGAAGACGTTAACATCTGAAGAGAAACACGGGATACAATGGACATCTAGCATGCAATTGGACGATCTAGACTTCGCAGATGATCTGGCCCTTCTATCCCAAACGCAACAACAAATGCAGCAGAATACGATCAGTGTAGCAGCAGCCTCAGCAGCAATAGGTCTCAATATACACAAAGGGAAGAGCAAGGTTCTCCGATACAACACAGCATGCACCAATCCAATCACAATTGACGGAGATTTGTAAGATGTAAAAACCTTTACATA